CTCGTTCATTCTTTGTTTTGTAATTTGGGACGGCTTTAATCCAGCTACTGTGAGCTGTGGTCCAGCTGTTCAGTGTCAGACACTGCAGCATTATGCTACAACGTTTAATAGTGGCCACCCTATACAAATCCCAGTCACTGTTTTTAGATGCACAAAATGGAGATGGTAAAATTAGGCTTTCTCAATTTGTGTTTCCAAGAAAACCAAACTCTTTAAAACATAAATCCTCTCCTAATATTCCCTTCAGTTTGACTTTTGAGCCGGAGGCGGCTCAAAAATGTGTTGCATAACAAGAAGGGTGGAGAACCCTCTGAGCCATTGGAACGCGTTTCCTCCACAGCGTACGCCCAGGGATACACCCTTCTTCCTCTGTTTCCTTCCATCCTTCCCTTGAATTTCCCTTGAACTGACTCTCCCACTTTCTTCGTACCTCTGTTGTAAAGCCAGCTCTCTCTGCCGTGAGCCAACCTTATCATGGAAATGGTCAAAACTTGTTTGAACAAGGGGCGAGGCAGTAAGGTAGTAATGACTACTGACTCATTAAGAGACAATATTGTGACTCACCCCACTTGAATGCTGTAAAGTGAGTGTGTGATGTAAAGCAGCTACAATAAAGCCATTCTCACTATATATTAAGAATTACAATGATGATCTTTTTGTGGTTTTGATAATTATTCAGTCCGTTTTTGCCTTGTGTGAGGAACTCCAAGGGTAGCCCTGGTGTTAGGCTAGGTCTAGTGTAGCAGGCTGTCGCACACATATGCACGCACGCTCATCTAATCCAGTTTGGGTCAGTAACAGCAGCTACAGCTTCCTGTGAGTCCCCTGGGGGCCTCATATGACTTCCTACCATCTTGCCTGTCTTTCCTTTGACTTCCTGTCTCGCCCAGATGCTGCTGCAGGATACACTGTAGATGGATATATATGGTGTGCTGTATGTCAGCCAGTACTATAAGAATTCATTTGAGGCAAAGACATTCATTTCCACTTTGGAAATGCTATTGCATGGATGTACATATGCACGTGAAGGCTGTCATTCATGGATCATGAACATTTCCCATTTAGGTAGAGCAGTTTCCACAAAGACACTCCCCATTCCCTCCCTGTGGCAGTGATGCACTCACCTGACCCTCACTGACCCCTCTTTCTTCATGTATAGCTTGTTTCCCTTTTATTTACATGCCACTTTTGTTTCCAATGCACACACTTGCATACATGCAGAAACCACTTTCCTCACACTTTGTTGCCTTTCCACTCTGCATGTACTACCAGTCAAAAGTTAGGACATACTTACCCTTTGAATTGAATGGGAAGGTGTGTCCAAACTTTTGACTGGTGCATGTGATGCCACTGTTCACTCATTGCACTTTACTGCTACTTGTACTTTATTGTCTTTACACTTGTTTTATGTTTTTGTATTTGATTTTACTGTATAAACTGGAGCACAACAGAAACAATCCCCATTCTCTTGTACACTGAGTATTGTATATGGAGGGACTGACACTAAGTTTTCCCTTGTAACCTTGATGATACTGTGTAAATCCATTAACTCTTGCTGTTTAATCGAAGATGTGAAATAGCTTCTATTGTCTCACATTTGAGAAGCCCACCAGTCTTGAGGAAAAGGAAAATGAGTGACAGAGCAGGTTAGTCAGACTGCAGAGGACATGACAGTCGAAGTTCATGGCAGTTCTGGAAAAAATATGAAAGAGAGAGTTCAGAGGCCTTGGTTATGTATTTTGTCCCCTCTCGAGAAGCAGTTACAACAATATTAGCTTTGGTTTATGTGAATTCCCAACTGGCGCTTGCTAGCGTATCGGGCTGGGGCATGCCCAGAGAAGGTTTTACACTATAAAGTGGAAAGTGTTTAGGTTTTTTTTTTTTTGGAAGACTAAGAAGAGGGACTGAGTGTTATTTGGGTGTTGCTAGAGTTATGAGGAGAGGCCATGGGATATGGATGAAGAAAATGGAGGGATATTGTATAACTGGAAGTTGTAAAGTCTTCTGCCTGGCAGGACACGGACATTCCTTCACCCACCCAGTGCCATCATCCTTCATCTCTCCTTTCCCTTTTCTCTGATTCAGATGTGTATTGGTACTTACCAGAACTAAAGAAAAGATGCATTAGCCTTTAGCCTGCCCTGCCACCCCTTTCCTGTTTTCCTCTTCTCACCCACATACTTGACTTTTACATTATTTTATTCATACACCCTAAAGGTGCATTAACTAAGATTTTACATGTCTGATAAAGTGCCAATGGGACAGGATGTGGTGTCTCTCAACTGTACCACTCCCCTCACTGCTGCCTACAGCACTTCTCTTATTCCTGCTTCTCCACCATATGTTTTGATGGTCGATCTGGACATTAGCCCCACCTGCCCCAAGCAAACGCTATAACAACCACAAAAAAATGCTTCACCGTTTCATACAGCCAGCCATGGAGGGGCTCTTCTCAGCTAAAGGTCTAACACAATGACCAAATAGCTTGCATTCTTTTGCACAGAGATGGACAAAGAAAGAACACAAGCCATCGGTTTTGTTCTTTGAGTGGAGAGTGATATTAGTGTGAGTAAGAGTAAATGAATATGATTTAGGAGTAATCTGAGATTTGTAGGATGTCATTGCTTTGTCTTGGTCCTGTTCAGGACTGTCTCCTCACCGTCAGCCTCATCACTTGACATGGTGCCGCTACAGTACTGCCGCGGAGTCAGCTTTGGTCTGGTGGCTGCGTCTTGTACAGTTGACCCCAACCAGGCATTTGTAGTTCACGTTGTTGCTAGGGGACAGGATGTGTCAGCTTGTGTTAAGCCTCGCTAGACCCTCTAGCTAGTGAAAAGAAATGAATTAATGCAACTCTAAAGCCTTAAGTTTATCTTTAATCCTTTTTTTTTAAATTTAATCTTTTAAAAAAGTGCCCTGGGGTTGTAATATTCATCCTTAAACTGTAATATTCATGTTACATACACCTAAATCCTCATTTCATTGCTGACATGTATTCTGCTCTCATCTAAGCCTCTTCCATATATAGCTATCTATAAATTAGAACATGAAAGGCTTGTGGAGAGCAGTTTGGGAAATGACAAGAACACAAAGGAGCATAGAGCTCAGGTACTGGGTGCAGCTCCTATCTGGTTGAAATCTAGGGGTCTCAGCTCTGTGTCAGCCTTTCCAGACAGCAGCAGCTTGGACAGCAGGGCTTTGACCCTGTAACCAGGCAACAGGCCATGGACAAGCTGTCTGCTAGGCCGGAGTTTTTAAGCCCAAGGGTGTCCACACCAAAGGACATGGAGTCAGGGGGTAGGTATCAGCTGCCATAAGACGGCTCGTTTTTCGGTTTGACAGTCAAGACCACAGGGTCACAAAAAACAGAAGCATGCATTTGTTTGAATAGATCCTGGGTGTAATCACTGAAATCACATTGTTGAGATGAAAACATGGTTTGATCAAAGATTCCAAAGCTTTACTGTGGTTTCTCTCTGCTTTAGGCCTTCTTGAAGTTCACACTCTTGAGATTTTGTTTCAAACCACAATAATGTTGCTGCTGGTCCCACTGAATGGACTGGGTGAAAGATGATGTCATTCTTCATAGTGTCAGATGCTTGGAATGTGGACCACCTCAGGCCACCCCATCCAGCTGAATGGATGAAAACAAACCCTGTGAATCTACTGGCCGGTTTTAAGGGGCCTTGCCTCTGGCACCGTCAGCCATCTTCAGTCTGGGGGGCCCCTGGGGGCCCGGCACTTCTGGCTGACATCATGGTAGCAAAACTATTATGATGAGATTAGCTTTGAGTTTGAACATAAAGCCCTGGGCCTGTAGCACCTCATCCTCTCTGTTTAGTTGTGCTTGTCCATTTCCAGAACCACAGCGTCCTTTCTCTGCTTTATTCAAGACCTTCCTCTTTTTTTCTATCAATGCATCTCTCTTACATCAACCCTGATTTATCCATGTCCCTTTTCTAAGACCTTACATTTCCTGCATGGCACACAGAGACTCATTTCCAGGGCTCATATGCATTTCAAAAGGTGCAGGAGGCTCTTTGCACCAAGCTGAAGAATTGAGCTGAGCCGCAGGATGAATTCACAACACTGCTCTGTAGTCTGTGGAGACCAGTTCTCACTTAGACAGTGGGAGGATTGGACACTTAAATGGCTGTGTAAATGTGACTACCTCAGTGATAGGCAGTCATTGTTAAAATGTCTTTTCTTAGTTATTGTTTATCTGAAAATGGTTTTTAATTGTGTGTCGGTTCAAAACCCTCCCTTTCTGTTGCAGGATGAACTGGACCTGACGGATAAGAACAGAGAGGCCATGTTTGCCCTGGCCGATGAGAAGAAATGGCAAATCTATTGCAGCAAAAAGAAGGTGAGTTGTGGCTCCGTTGTACTTTACTGCACATCAATTCCAGTCTGGCTGGCCCTATGACTGGCTGCCTGAACCCACAGCTGAGAGCTAAAGTGTCAGCAATGAATGTTATTGAAGGGCCGCCTCATACCAGAAACCATTTTGAATCAGTTTAGCCACACAGTCAGCTTCTCATTTCTGCATTGTGGGAGTGCACATATTATGCCTGCTACGTACTGCAGACTGTTATAAGTTTGGTATCATACATGCATGTAAAAAACGAAGAGTACACAAATGCAATTCCGGCCCCTGTTTTAAGGCCCACAATCTTAAAATCTCCCTCCCCAAGTTGGAGCAAGCAATTTCCTTGTGCTGCCTAAGAATTGTCAACATACCATGGGAGTACTAGAACATTCTGGTCAGCCCTCTGTTTCACCCTTCTCCCCTCGCCAAAACATCTCTCATTCTCTTCATACCCTTCACTGTCTCTTTCCACAACAACCTGGGTCTCATTTTGTGGTCAAATATCCTACTAGGATATGACATTGAGCTTGGAGAAAACGTGGAATTTAGCCCCTTTTCCCCCAAATGGAATAAACAGACTATGGAATAAATGGTCATAAACCCTCCCTTGTGTCTATTTGCTAACTTGTTTTTGGCTGAGGGTTTTGTGTTGCAAGCAGGGTGAGGATCAGACCCCTCCATCTACTTTCAAAGCCATGCAGGATCAGCTTAGCTGATGTGATGTGCTCTGACAACCCTTTTAAAAAGGAATAAACACACACCACGTTGTGCATGCGAGTGTGCATGCACCTGCATGTGTAAGATTGTGTACTTGTATTCAGGCCAATACTTGGTTCCTAGGAAAAAGAACAGTCAAGGTGACGATAGAAGCTGCACCAACAGTTTACAATGAAATGGAATATGGGTGAAAATAATACAAGAGAAACGTATAATCTTTCGTTTAAAACATCATATGATACCCATAACACGTGCAGTGTGCTGTGTCCTTTGAATACATTGCATCCTATAAAAGGGGATTGAATTGTTGGCAAAATGTGTATTTGCACATGAGAATCCACAAAAAAGCACAAGTTCAGTAAGACTCACAATATCAGTTGGTGAATATCTCACTGAAGCAACCACAGACATTTATGAGGACTCTTTATACTGTAGTAGAAGGTAGTGGAAAAATGTTTGGCAACAGTATGCACATATTGGAACAGAATTGGTTTGCAGTGCATGCCTAAGCCGGGTTCAGAGGTAGCATATATTGGCTTGTCATTCCTCTCCCAGTCAAAAATAATTTCCTCTGTGAAGCTGAGGTGAAAAAAAATAAGCCATGTGTCTAGGCCAGGAATCTGAGAACAAAACCAGGGTAACCGTGCACAACGGAAAGCCAGAGGATAAACCAAACATTTGAGTGTTTACTGAGATACAGTGAGTGGTTAATGCATCTTGGGTATGCTGATTAAGTGGACTATTGGCTCTTTGTTTTATTTATTTGTTAGGATAAGCGGTATAGATAATGGATGGATATTATGTGATATTATTCTTATTTAAGGTTGTTTTTTTCGTCTGTATATTCCTTTACTTGGTGTCTTGTGTAGCACACTGAGAGCACTGTAGTGTACCAAGTTAAATTTCTTGTGTGTCAGTGCATGGCAAATAAAAAAAAATCTGATTCTGATTTGCAGTGTGAAGAATTTGACACATGCACTTGGAATATTTCACAGGATTTATGCCTTTATTTCGGCCCAAATCACATAGGTACAAGTATTTCTGTGTCCAGAGAGTCGGATGGGCCTGTTGTTGCTTCATGATGGATGTATTTTTGTTTCTTTTAGGTATTTCAGAGGAGTTTGCTTCTTAAATTATTTGCAGAATTAAAGCATGTTCACATTACAACGGAAAAACCAGGGCTTTGCACTGCGCACTCTGCGCTGGTCAGCACAGAAGCTCAAACAGAAAGTCTCAGGGACACTGCACAAAACAGTGTTGTCTTAGCTACAATGCTAATGTTGCTAGTAGTAGATTACTACATTTTAGAAGCTTAAACTGTAAATTTTTTAATTATCTTGGTAGCAGCATTTGTATGCTGATATTTTGCTAGCAAAAAAATGTAGGTTGTCTGTCTTTGTCTCATCTCGGTATGAGCATCATGTTATTGTACAGTGTATGAAATTCAGAAACACTGGTTACATGCTATAACCCGAGATTCTATGAGTATAGACACAGCCTAGGGTGAAATAGAACAAATGTTGGTTCAAGAACTGACTGGCTGTGTGGACAAAGGTCAGCACAACCAAGGTCAAAGTTCAACAGATTTGAACTTTTGGGGCACCCCTGCTCCGTGCAGACATCAGCAGTGCACAGCGCATCACATACACAACAATGGCGAGGCCCGTGCAAAAGCTGTTTTTCTGCTATAAGGTGAATATGCTATTAGGGCTGTGACTTATTTTCATTTTCAGTTAATCTGTCAATTTTTCTTTTTCTTTTTTTTATCAATCAAGAGCTTGGTCTATGAAATGTCAAACTGTGGAAAAAAGGTCTCCAGAGTCCATGGTGATGTCTTCAAATTGTTTGTCCAACCAATAGACCAAAATCAGAATACATTATGTTTTCAAAGATGTGTGACATAAAATACAGCAAAAAGAATTTTGGGCAATTTTTCATTATTTTTGCTTGAAAAATGACTTTTTTTTTTGACTGTGGCCAGTGGATCATTTGTGCATTGTACCCCCTAATGCTCCTAAAAACTTGACTTAAAATGTATTTTATAGTATATGTGCACTGGATTCTTACCATTTGTGAGCTCAGTTATCATTGTCAGTAAAACCTTTCAGGGGAATTGTCTTTGACACAACGTGCTGCATGACGGCAGGGGAGCTGAAATATGTAATTTCATCTTCTCTTTCAACAGGTGCCCTCACAAATGCAATTGCCTGCCAAATGCACAGTGAAATATTCTTGAACTCTGGCTTTAGTCAGGTATTTGGTTGTACTTCATAGAAGCAACATATCCCTCAACAGATGGTTGTAACAAGAGGAACACCTTACAGAAATATACTTGATAGACGGCCGGGGATTCCTGTCCTCCTTTGCTGCAGCCCAGATTGTAAATCATATTTAATACGGCCAGACATGAGGAATGTAACGTGCCATATAAGTGTGTAATTGTTGTAGTAGAGTGAGGGGGTTGATCTTAAACTGTCCCAGTGGAGCAAACAACTGAAATGTTTTTACTCAGAAGGCGATAAGTAGAAGAGCACTCAGTACATTAGTGTTCAGAACTTAAACACAAATGTGTACCCATGAAGACAAGCGCACACACTCCATTCACATGCACAGTCCAATGTTTGTAACTGGCTTCACTCTGTGGAGCCTTGTTTCTTATCATGAGCTTTTAATACCAGTCCTCGACTGCGATTAACTCCCAGAATGGTTTGATCAAGCAAGAAGCACTCAACATCAACCCTACCATCACTTCACCTCTTAGAAGTTCCTTTGACAGGGCAAAGGTTCAGGAAGTGTATGGACTGATATGACTAGGACCCCCAAGACAAAGCTCTCATGGAACAGTAACTATTATTTATTTGTCTCAAACCAAGATGATAATTACAGTACTTGACTTTGGCTAGTGAAACTGCCAAAGTAAATGTTACCTTGGGCTCAACATGTTTTTGGTGGCTGTAAATAGGCTGAAGAACCAGAGAGAGGCAGTTAAGTTGTTAATCTCAGCATCGGGGTCTGTTTGGCATTGCATCCAGAGTGTGTCAGCACTGTAGTATTCAGTATACAGTGAGTTCTATTGTTTTTGCTTTAGTTTAGCTCTTTAGTGTGAGCGTGAATGCTGTCACGTTGCTGCAGATCAGAAGCAGCAGTCATTACCAGGACTGAAATGCACACTGATTTTATTTTTGGAGACAGTCTATTTGGGCTGGTCCTAGAACAGAGTTTGTCCCACTTAATCATCAGAACAGGTAATTTATTTTTGACTGAGTGTTGTCACCATGCAAATCCTGAAGCAACATGGATGGATGGATGTACAACGTGGATGTACTGCCATTAAATGTTTTGTTTCTTTTATGGCTTTCCACAGAACACATTCAGATGATGGATCCAGTTAACTCGTGATATCTTTGTGCAAGAATGTTGATCTGAACATCTCTAATGTGTCTGTGGTCTGTGATAATGACTTTAGCAAGAGGAAAAGTTACATTTTGGCATATGATGAGATTTAAAATACTGTAGCTATACTTGAAGAAGAATGACTTGGCAGGCAATGATTTTAACTAATCTTACTGTCTAATTTTGCATGAAGTATATACTGTATACTGTAGTTTTTCAATGTACACACAGTAACAAGAACAACAGTAATGGCGCTCCATGCATGCTCTAAGCCTGGGCTAAACAAGACCAGATGTGAATGGGGAACATGGTCTTTGTTATTTCCCTGTGCCCTGGTTGCTCATGGCTTTACGCTTCCTTGTATTGACTGGGACAAATTGATCTCAAGCAGAGGTGTTTGAAAATTATTACAGAGTGCACTTTGTTTCTCAAGGCAGTTCCATTTTTTCCTACATTTCTTTTTATTCAGGTAATAAAAGCTAAGGCAGGAAAATGGTATGAGATGCTGTGACCCAGTTATTATGGACTGCACTGTCTGATTTATTTACAGTCTTTGATGCCCTGATGTCGAGGTAGAAAAGTGGAAGTATGAAACTAGGGAACTGAAATAATATGAGAATAAAGTATATCCTGTACAGAATTGCTGTCAAACAACTCAAAAAGTTGAAGCCCCGTGAAAAGGATATGTCACGGTTAGAGCAAAACAACACAATCACAGTGCATGTGAGGCACACCTCGACTGAATTGAAAAAGTAGGATCAAATGGGTCTCAGCATGCACTACACTGTAACATGTTTAAGGTGATGCCATCATGAAGTGATTCTATCTGTCTGTGTGTCCATGAACAGGAGCAAGAGGACCCCAACAAGCTGGCCACCAGCTGGCCTGACTACTATATTGACCGCATCAACTCCATGGCTGCCGTAAGTCAAACTCATAGTTTGTCTGTTCTCCTCTGAAATAATAATAGAATTTTCCTTGCCAGCTTGAATTGTGCTATCACAGTGTATTCCACTTTCTTCAGGCTGAGTAGCTCTCCTACGAGGTCACTGTTCGCTCAGTCGTTTGTCAGGCTTCTCTCTTGGCTCGCTTTTTATCGTCTCCCTGCTGACTGCTTGTTATATTCACATGACCACATTCCTTCTCTCTGACCCCGGCGTTCACACACACTGTGATGACAAACAGGCCATTTAGGCACTCAGCAGTTCAGCCAGCAGGAGTGACCATCAGAGACACGGAGCAAAGCTAGGATGACAATATTCATTATTTCTAGCTGCCAGTTAAAACATCATGAGCCCATCACAAAGCTGTCGCCCACTGTGATCTTAGTGCCAGTTTTTGCTGTCGCCCACTGTGATCTTAGTGCCATTTTTTTTACACTTACCGCTGTTATGTGAATTGTGTTATTTGGGGGTACATTTGGCCACTGAGCAGTTTGTGCCAGTGACATCTGACCTCATGTCACGTGGATGACAAGTTGGCTCCTAAATGTTTAGAGATCATGAGATTTTTAAGAAGGGCTATGAAGCTATGCAAGCATGAAATTTAGAAACAAGTAAGCTATTGATCGAAATGGTCTTGTGATTCAAGCAAAAGCCTCTGTCTGGAAGCGCTGTAGCAGTGTCACTGTGCTATTAGCTGCTGTCACAATTATGTTTCTGCCTTTTTTCTTCTTTACTTTATCTACTGCAAAAGAAACAGAGTCTTTGCAAATCCTAGCCCATAGTGTTAAAATGTTGCTTTCTTAAGTAACATTGTGCCTGTGTGAGATATTCACAGTGGTTTCAACAAAGTTCAGTAAAAATAATGAAGGAATATTGAGAGGAAAACATGTTTCAAGAAAAAGTAAAATTTCACATTGGAAGAAACTGAAAATATATTGCATCATTGTCAATAGTTTATTCTTTTATAAAGAAGATTAAGATTCTATGACTATCATAGAGTAAATAAAAAAATATTTATCATAAAGTTAACCATTTCTTCCCCTTTAGGCACAAGTGCTCTTTTGTCCAAGTTCCCCTTTAAGAGAATCTCCCTTATTCACCATAACTCCAATCAATTTCCTTCCCTTCCTGAATAATTTTTTTTCACCCTCACCGCCAGTCTTCCATTTTCTCCACAACAGTGCTTCAGACAGCCTCTTGACACGAGAGCATTTTAAAGTTTGAAGGTGCTCTACTTTGTCCATGACTTCATGGCTTGGCTCTCAGGCAAGCTCCGCAGGGACGGCCCTTCCACAGTAGCTGAGTTATTGGATGAGCTCATTTTCCCTTTGCTGCTCAGAGAGATTACTGTAGACTACAACCAGCATCTTGATGTTCATTCATAAAACCATGTCAGAATCCCGAGGTTGTCTGTTGGCCACAGAGTGATAACTCAAAGTCCTTGTGACGCTCACAAGAATTTCTGTTGCCCTGCTGTGTCCAGGATAGTGTGTTGCCTTCAGAGCTCCCACCTGCATAGGGCTTCCTGTAGAAATATAGAAAAAGAGATTAACTGACATCTTTTATACCACTGAACAATGGGCATCTTTGTCAGTTTTGTAACATCTGACTTGTACAATCGTAACAACTGAAACTGTTTTCAACTCGCACCTTTTTAGACAGTATGAACAGCTTGATCACTGGTCTAAATAATGGGCCTATCTTTTTACTAGTTACATCAGAATATGAGCAAGTCTGTCAAAGTTCTTATCCTACAGTCGGTTCTGTTTGGTGCTGAAAATGTCTGTGCCATCTCTGAAAAGCAGCTCACATGGTAAAATAACTAAAGGACTAAAAGACTCACTATGCAAATATGAATGTAGTTGAACTACCAGCGAGATACTGCAAAACCTAAAAGTTTGATTACATGTAGCTCACTACTCCCCGACGCTGTTCATTAGCATGGCATCTAAACTCAACCAACTGTGGCTCCGCAGAGCAGATAGATAGTAAGCTACCTTTTAAAATGAAGACGTTCTATCTGTGTGTTTAATCTTATGTTTGGTGTTCTGTATTAAAATAACACTGTACTTATTTTATTAGCTTAATTACGTTGTGTCACTCTGCATGACTATTTGAATTAAAATAATATTTATTTTCATTTTTATTGAACAAATACTTTTTTTCTTCACTCATCATTGACACACATGGTTCAAGTAAAAGTTTTAATGAGCTGCATTTGTCACTCACCCAGTTAACAACACACTGACCAGCTTGAAGACGCAGTTCATGTTCTGAGGGGCACTTTCCATAATAAAGGTTTAGGGAAGTACCTTCTGCTAGTTTACCAACGCTGACTATAATAGCATCCTTATGTGCATGTTGGCCAAAGGTTAGAGCTTACAAATAGCAGATGTAGGAAGGAGCTGTTTGGCTAGACAAGCACAGTGAACTGGCTCGCAGCACCACCAGATCATTCACTCTTCTGAACATTTGTTGTGTCCAACTTCCCATTTACTATGAATGGAAAAACAGGAGCCAGAGCCTTTGCTTTTTGGCACACAGTCCCTAAACCATCTGGACTTGAGGCTAAGTCGACAGTATACATGCTTTGACTGCAGTGTTTCTAGATTAAACACTGTCACTGGACAGACCAGAGCCATTGTTACAGTAGGGAGTCAAACATGTGGTGGCTTCACTTGGCTCTGTGGGTGCTGTCAATTGATTACTGAGGAATTACTGTCTGCTTTTTTTTTTTTGAAGGGCTGGAAAGCATTTCACACATTTAAGCAAATGTATTTTCAAGCAAATGAAATGAGCTGCTGTGGCTAGCTTACTCCACTGCTCAAACACACTGTTTGACACTTGGCACTTGGAAGTGTGCTGCCATGGAAAAAGCCTGGAGAGGCTAAACGGAAGCCCTGTGTGGGAGACTGATGGGAGAACAGCACTTCTTTGATGTTGCTGAGGGACGACTTTGATTGATGCAGAAATGCATGAACATTATGAATTGTTTTATTAGGTATATGCTTGATTGGAGCTAATTATCTACATGAATTATTTCAGTGCGAACGATGAAAAGCTCTTAATTAAAAGTGAAAAAGAAAATTTGCACCAGCACATAGTGCGTCTACTGTGCACTTAAATTCAGCAATGTCACTGTTGTTGTTTTCAGCCAGTTCCATCCTCATTTCTCACCGTTTCTGCAGATGCAGACCCTGTTTGCCTTTGATGAGGAGGAAATGGAAATGAGGAACAAGGTGGTGGAAGATCTGAAGACAGCACTTCGGACTCAGCCAATGAGGTGAGCCTGTCTCCTTTCCACTGTAACTATACCGTGACCTTTTCCGCTGCTGCGGCACAGAGCTCGGCAGAGCTCAGTTTTTTTTCAGTCATGCATTCTTGCAGTTTGACTTGTTGCCACACACAAAATGCAGTTAATAATATAACAGGAAAGATTTGTCATATTCTGTCTCTTGTCATGGCAGAGACGCCTGTTTAATTACTTCCAGCTGAAATATGACTAATAGATATTTTTAGATCCACTCCCATGTTTCTCTGCCCCTGACATCAGCATTTCATCAGCAGCTGTTAGGCCTCACTCATCGCTACAAAGAAACATTCAAGGACATTGCACAGCTCACTAACACAAACTACCTTATTTTTCCCATCAGCAGCTCCTTTAGAGCTGTCCTTCAGCCTCTGCCAGTTGTATGATGCAGTGGTTTTCTCAAGGGTAGCCAGGAAGTGAGACATAATGTGCGCGTGACAAAACCTCAGGGCATGTCTGGGTCACATCTGGGTTGTGTGTGTATTTTTAGGTTGTGTGTGTGTGTGTGTGTGTGTATGTTTGGTTTTGTTTGTATGTACATGTATTTGTATCCAAATCACAGTAACAGGGACAAGACTGGTAAGAAGGTGGCAGCACTTCGGGTTTAGCTACAAAGCAGGAAGTCATTTGAAATGCTGCTGCTTCTGGCCCTTGGAAATTAAATAACTATCTAAATAAAATAACTATCCAGTGGGTTCTGAAATTACTCAGAGCCCTTCAATTTTTTTTATTTTTTTTGTTTAATTGATAAACTTTGGTCATCAATCTACACTCAATAATCCATCATGATAATCTGAAAACTGTGTATTTTGAAATTTGTGCAGATTTATGAAAAATCAAAATCTGAAATTGCTCATTTATAGAAGTATTTAGACCCTTAGCCTCTTCAACTCCAGCCACCTGGAGTCAAAACACCTCGAATGACATGCCCAAGCTAAAGTGGCTGTAGTTCACAATTCCAGTGAACAATATCACGAATAAGACAACTCTACAGTGTTTGCTCCATAAATCAGTCCAGGTGGCTCTCCAAAAAAAGAACACACAGGCTCTAAATGGAGACCTCATCTTGAGTTACATAATGCACACTGCAAATTCCTAATGTGAAAATGTTGTCATATTGTAAACTTTTCATTTATTCTGACAGTCCTTGGTGTTCAGATGGCTTATTTTTTAACAATTTATGAAAATAAATGAAACCTTTATGGAGTGATTTAAGTTCTATGCTACTGCATGTAAAGTAATAATCTAAACACCAAGTTACAAGGTCACTTAGTCATCTGATTTTTACAGGAATGTTCTTAAAAATAAAGTTGTTTTTTTTTTAACTTAAGCAGTAGTAAAGAGGTTAATGTATGGGCACTTGGTCTTTGGTGCCCCTATAGGTCTACCTGAGACCATGGGGATAACTCAAGCTTGACTTTGAATACCTTATAATGTTGATGACAAAGTGCACCAAATGCTTTAAATCAATGAATGGTTTAAGCCTCATTTTAAAAATATTACCCCAGTCTTAATACTGACATAAAATCTACCCATTTGGTCCAGGACCCCTCTTGGCATGAGGGGGAAAACCTGGGACCCACTCATTAAATCTGATTTACCACCTCAACCATTCCAGATGGGAACTGTAAATGTGACGCATGGGCCCTGTGCAATTTCAGTATGAAAACTGACTATTTCAGATGTTCACTCTGGAAAGAAAATCCCCAGTTGTAGAACACTTTGTCATTACCTGCTGTTAAAATAAAGCATATAATGTGTCTTGAGCAAAAGACCAAAGTAAATAGTCACAAAAGGAAGTGACCAAAATAAGCAAGTCACAGTAGCTGCTGCAGCTTGCAAGAGTGAGCTCGGTGTATACAGAGAACACTAGTAACCCAGCTCAAAGCATAGTGTGCCAGGATTTCTCTACAAAGCTATACTGAATGATAAACTTATACAGTAGCAGTGTGTGATTTAATGAGACTGAGTTGTTAATGCCATCTTGCTCAATATCAACTCCAGATCAATATTTACCTTTCCTTGGTTTTAATAGTTTTTAGGTTTTGCTTTGTTTTTCATGCTGTATTCAATCCTTGTGTTATGTTTAAGTGTACTTAATCTACCTCAGCCATGCTGGCTGTAATGACTCAATCAACATTATTCAGAAATGCACCAGCACCCACAGAGTGAGTTACTGCTCATTATCACGCAGATGTTTTTAAGTACTGTAGCAGTGATGTGGTTGGCAGGTGTGCCCCACAGAATATGGCTGTTTAGGGCAAGCCTGGGCAGTGTGTTATTGTCCCGCCAAGTTTCTTTTATAGTAAATGAGACCAAAAGAGAGCTTTGAGTTTAGATGTCTAGGGGCCATCTAAGCACCTCACCTGAACATCCCCCTTTGTGTTTTTATGGCGCATTTTGTCACATGGTGGTGTCTGTCTGTATTCAGCTTTGATTCACGCCGGCCTTTGTATGAAATGGCCCTCCCTACCTCCTCCCCCTGGCATTTTAGAAAGGCAGCTGGGTCCGGTTGTGAAGAGTTGCCCTTGTACCCTCAGCCCGCTCTGCAGGGCCACAGGACCCAAACACATGGTGGGAATGCAGGGTGCCAGGCAGTGCACACAAAAGCAGCATTGTCAACAAGCCACCCACTGTTGTTACTTTCACTCACAGGCTGATTATAAAGCCATTGAGAGGAAAAGGTACATGTTTTGGTCATGTGTTCATTTGCATGGTAGTGTATATGGAATGTGACATGAACACAAACCACAGAGTTATTTAAAAGTGTGCACTTCACTTCAACACCTCGTTAAACCTTTTAATGTGCACATTTCTCTCGAGTCTTAACTATTTCAAACTGCAGTAGTAACATAATTTTTTTGGTTTGTACTGAATTAAAATGATCCTGTTCACAAGTTTCTGTATGGTTGTAGTGAGGACCTGAGATGTAAGGGGTTCAACCAACCCCTGTTAAGGGTTTGTAGAGGCCCGAATGATCACATTTCCAGTGGAGCTGTGCTAGAACATAGACATAGATTGTGCTAGAGACGCGTGTTTCTGTTGTCTCAGATGAAGATTCCTTATCATGACTTTGACATGTCATTCCTGTTGACTTTAAAATGTCGCATGTATTTAGGCTAATGTGGGACATATGGACTGACATTGGTGACGTGAGAGAAATGTTGAAACACCCATTAAATCACAATACTTCATTATAGTACAGCTTCACTGTATGAACCATTTTCTCTGACAGAGAGCAGAAAGGTCTGATGCTGTTATTCATCCACCATTTACCAGAAACTGTTTTTAATAGATCTAATCATTCAAGAAGTTTAATGGCCCAGATGTCTTATGTCATATATAAATGTAATTAATTATGCAAACCCATAAAAAGAGGACATTTCAAAAATTGGCAGATTTTCTTTTCCTTTCACTCAAACAGCTTATCTCATTTTCTCTGCCAGCAATTATTGCTTTGTTTACCAGCTGTCAAATAGAGCTTGAAGCGTCGTGCTGGGTTTGTGTGTTTACTCACATAAAGCTGAAGCTTAACTTGCAGGCATGCGAGGGCCAAATAAACACACACAAACTGCTCCAGCCAGTCTGATGTACATTTCAGTTTCGCTTCCACGGTATTCCAATATTTACCTTCTCTTGGCAGAGCTCTGTGGTATTTTAACTATACAGTTAAGTGTACTTGCATAAGCACCGCTGGCCTATTGAGTTATCTGCAGTGATGTTTATATGTGCGCTGATGAGCGTGCTGTGTCTGCATTCTTGTATTTAAGACATCACATCTCTCAATCACTGCCACTGCCGGAGGACGGGGAATGAAACTTTCCTGGAGGTTGCCGAGGCCGTTCTGGCACAGAATGGACTGCGGTCCCAGACTAATGACAAGAGAGCATCACAGTGCTTCCCAGGACAGCTCTCATGGACACCGTTTCTGCAGCTCTTTTCCAGCAAGAATATTGACTTGAGTCGACTGCTGCCATTCCCCCTGCTCTTGTGTAAATAACCCTTTGGACTACCACCACATGCAAATATTATCCTTCAAAACATTTTTACGCCAGATCTCTCAAAGGTTCCACTTAACAGAGAGTGAACCTATAGCTGGTATCACATACGACCAGATACATTAGTACAGGAGCAGAGTATCACAAGCAATGCTTTTGCTTCTGTCAGAGCACAGATTTCTCGCCCCTTGGTATTTACTTAGCAGTTAAGGGGAATATTTAGAGAAATAAGGGACTGGTACAAGCAGGTTTAAAGAGGCTGAACCTCCCAGTAGGGGGGTGGAGGTCTGAATGACAATGTAGTGGGTTAAAGGTGGAGTGAAGTTATGCTCTAATCCTCATCACATCTGGATTTCCATGTAATTGCATAGATCCTGATGTTGAGTTAGTGATGGTTGGCAAAGTCAGCACTGGAGGTCAAGACTACAACTTTGGGGGAAAAAAATGGCTGTGGTCGAGTTGCATTGTGGGTAATGTATGTACCAGGTTTTGAAAAAAAAGTGTGTGAAACAAAAGGACATTTGCAGTTGTGTTGCATCAACATTGATCCTTTGTGTTTTAAACTGTCCACCACAAGTACAGTCAAGTTGGACTGAACTGCTAAATCTTTTAAACTGTCCACCACAAGTACAGTCGAGTTGATGGACTGAACTGCTAAATGTGTGGAGTATGCGTGCTGCTGGCTCACACATGGTCCACTTCTACAAACTTCTCCCTGTGGGTTTAATGATAAGCCTGGTTTATAATAACCACTCCCTCTATGCCAAAATATACTTAATATTCACATCACAGATGTGCGCCATGGGTTTTATTGTTGATCTCTGTATGTCTGTCAGGTTTATGTGTGTTGCCTTTTGTGCCACGGTTATACACAAGACATCATATCAAGTAAAACTTGAGCCATGGTGATATTGTACAACTCCTCTTCCTAATGTCACTGATACGTCGGTCAGCTAGTTTTCATCAGCACCTCTGAAGAACCTCCTGGGCCCTTGTTCATATTGTGTGTGTGTGTGTGTGTGTGTGGAGGTGGTAGAGCTCAATAGGTTTGTGTGGTCGGGCTTTGAGTTAAGAGTGAACTCTTGACTGACTGTCTACCGTACAGCGGTCGTCCGTAGTTCAAGAAGGAAGAATGCTTTGCCCGTGTAGCTAAAACCTCAAAAAATCCCTTTGGTTGGAATGAATTTTTGAATTTAACTTTGAGCATCTGGATTACGTTTTCTCCACTGTCCTGTTCATTTAGAATATTGTGTTTCTGGTTGAGAGCTGTGCTTTTTAGGTCACATGACCCTCAGTGTGTGTGTGTGTGTGTGTGTGTGTGTGTGTTTGTTTTTTTTTTTTTAAAGAAGATGACACAACATGGGTCACCATTTGATAATCTAAATGTAAATATCTCTTGACAGTCATTTTTGCTCCATTGTCTCTTCTGTTTAGCCTCATCCCATTCGAAGTTGTATTCCTCATTGTTTTTCCTTTCATCTGAAGCGTGAGTGTGTGTGCGTGTGTGGTTGGCTTGCCCTGGGTATTTTTCAGCTGTGTCTGAGCTCATATATGCAGCAGTTATCAAGCACTCACTGCCTTGAACACAACCCCAGCAGGTTTTCAAGTATGCAGTGGTTGTTCCGAAAAGAAAACACGGAGGCCTGCACGCCACTTGGCTGAGCATGAATGTCAGAGAGGAGTAGACAAGAGGAGACTTCAAAGTCAGAGGAGATGGGATCAACTGATTCAAGTGGTCACTAGAGAGAGAATGAAAGACTTGTTAGGCAGAAGGAGAAGAGTTGGAGCTCGGCTCACTAGGTTTTTTTTTTTTTTTTGGCAGAACAGAGGATTAGTCACTGTTGACTGTCCCGTAAAGAGCCATGTATTTTTGTGGGCTTTAATTTAATTTTATTTTTTTAACTCATCTTTAAGTACCTTCATTGCTTTATGGTGCATAGGGTGCATCCCTAAATGTGTATAGGTGTTCCTGGCAAGTTGTCTGCAAACCAATAGTGAAGCAGGCAGCTGGCCAAGCTTTAAATCCCATCCACCCGTTTGATCCCAGACTCCAAGAACAACATCTCTGCTTTCCATACATTAATCACAAGGATGTTCAGCTTAATTTCCCTTCCAGTAGGAAACCTCTGTCTCCTTGAGGTCGCTCCTGCAGTTCACAGACGCGTATGGCTACGCTGTCACCTCTGCCGGCCAAAGCCTTGTTACCGATATAAAAATAAGTAACTTTAAGAGTTGAATTAGTCCTGCTTTGCTCCAGTTCCAGTGTCTGTGTAACATCTGAATCAAGTCATAGCTACTCTATTGGATTTTTTTTCACCACTTTGTGTTGAGTGGAAGCATAGAAAGAAAAGAAAACAAGAAGCATGTTATCTGCTCAAATGTTATGTGTGTGTTCTCTGTGGCTGCAGGCTGTTTTCAGAGACAGTTGTTGGTATGCATATAGCATGACCTTCTTGATTTGGTCCAGGCCATGCTGGAGATGGGAGGATTACACTGTATATCTCTGAGAGATTTACTGTTCATGCCAGAAGAAATGTGTGTGTGTGTGCGGGTGGGTGGGTCGGGGGGCTAGATGTGACATCCCTCAGTGTTTATGTGTGTATGTCTGCTGGGATCTGGGATTGATCATGTGTGTAGGGGAAGCAGTACAGGGTAATAATTGGATGATTTACATTTTGCATCGTGTTTTTCCGATCCCACTCGGGCCAAGACATCAGTGGGAGGAGCTGGAAGTTCTGACATCAAAACAATGCATCTTTTACATTCAGTAGCAATAAATCTCGACTTTCACACCTTGTTCTTCTTTCCACACTAGTCCTTTCACGTTCTCACTCCGCCCTTCTTGTCTCTCCCTCTGCCTGTCCTCATCTCCTCTCTACTTGCCACTGTTTCTTCTGTTTACAAGCCTTCATTTGTTTAAAATAATTTATGAAGACTGTCAGGAATCTTAGTGAGTAGGAAGGTCATTTACAATACAGCCCACACTGTGTTGGCTAGATGTGACATCCCTCAGTGTTTACATGTCCTGCCTGTCATTCAGTAGGCCTGCTTCTCTCCCAGAGAGGTTAATGACTCACTGCTTTCTAATTGGTTCAGCTAATGAGGGTTGTCAGCAGCAACCTGGATACACTTGAAGTGTGATATTTTAATGCATGAAGAAACTACACACTTAAAAGAGAAATCCTGTGTTACAATTTGGAGGTGAGAGGATTACAAATGTGGATATTTTCCAAGCAAGGAGGGTTTAACAACATGGTGTTCTCAACTTCATTATGAGAATTGTAAGATCCAGTATTTTGGATGATTCAACCGTCCTAGGGGATAGACGTGAGGATATCTTAGCCTCTGCTGTTCAATTTTGACTTTTTTTTTTTTTATTAATCTGTCATTGTGGAGTTTGGAATCTGTTACGCTGTGATGGGCATCAGAATCTGAATCTGCTTTATTGGCCAGGTGTGTCAGACACACGAGGAATTTGACTCTGGTGCATCGGTTCTCAATGTGTATGTGCATATCCCCATGCAAGGGGCAAGTTTGTGTATATTGGACATGCATGGTTCTCTGTGGCTGGTTTATGACCATCTTTTAAACTTAATGGCATTCCCATCATCCTCATTTGCAAAAAATAGAAAGACTAAGATGTGAACACGGTAAACATACCTGCCTAACATGTTGGTAATGTTACTGTGAGCATGTTAATAGGCTGGCATTGGCCTAAGGGCTCACAGTGCTCTTGGTTTTGTTTTATCACATTATGGACAAAATTGTTACTTTGAAGAGAAAATCTCATAATTGAGATCTAATTTAAACAAAAAGTGGTTGATTTGAAGCTGCATATGCTTGTTTGTTCTTGAAGCATTTTATGATTTCATCAGAATGCTGGAGAGCAGAGAGATGACAAAATTAGAGGAGAGTGTGAAACATGTGTCACAAAGGTTTCTGGCTAGAAGCAAACCATGGGCATTAGTGGTTGTTTACATACAGTATATGCGTGCTTTGCTGGAGGAATATCTTAAAAATACCTATGAATCATTATAGATGGATTTTATTCATGTTCACCTTGTCATGTATGCTAAATTACTGAGAGCGTTTGACACTGAAGGGCTCTGGAGATTTAGATAGCCATAGTAATAAAGGTCTTCTCACTCTCTGGTCCTTTAAATTCCATTTTCACACTTTGCCACTGCACCCTCCTGCTATTAGACTTGTCTAAATCTGTACTCATTTTCTTCCTCGCCCCATCAGGTTTGTAACACGCTTTATTGAGCTGGATGGCCTCACCTGCCTCCTCAACTTTCTGCGCAGCATGGACTATGAGACGTCAGAGAGCCGCGTCCACACCTCTGTCATCGGTTGTATCAAGGCCCTGATGAACAACTCTCAGGGCCGTGCTCACGTCCTGGCTCACCCGCAGAGCATCAACACTATCTCACAGAGCCTGCGGACAGAGAACATAAAGACCAAAGTGGCAGTGCTGGAGATTCTCGGAGCAGTGTGCCTGGTGCCTGATGGACACAAAAAGGTGCTGCAGGCCATGGTACATTATCAGAAATATGCTGCTGAGAGGACTCGGTTCCAGGTGAGGGAAACTGCAGTCAAGTCTGATACTCAGGAAGACTTTGACACAAAGGGCAGACAAAATATGTCAGGTATCTTCTTCTCCTTCTTCTTCTTCTTCTTCTTCTTTCGGCTGTTCCCGCTAGGGATCACAACAGCGAATCATCAGTTGCCACCCAACTGATGATTCGCATGCTAAACTTGGCACATTTTATGCCAGATGCCCTTCCGGATAATGCCCAATTTTTTAGAGTCGCCAATCAACCTAAACTGCATGTATTTTGACTGTGGGAGGACACCGGAGCACCCGGAGAAAACCCACGCACGCACAGGGAGAACATGCAAACGCCGCACAAAAAGGCACTGGGTCGGCCGGGGCTCTAACCCGGAACCTTCTTGCTGTGAGGCAGACAAAATATTTCAAAGTAATGCTCAAATAAATCAGGCTGCGCTCATTTTGAGGAGTTGGAGATTCGTGCTGTAATGCGTTAGGCTGTCTGCATCAGATTAAGTCAACACACAGGCCATATTAAAGACAAGTGAGAAAATGCAGATATAGAGGTCAGGATGTGTGTAGTGCTTTAGTGACTAGCAGGACTGAGTCAGCAAGCCACATCTGATACATCCCCTGGGGTGTTTGCTATATCATGCCATGTGGGGCTAAGCTAACACCACATGAGTGATCCAGAACTCATGAAGGCCTTTTAGTGTTGGTTTGAATTATGATTAAGCTGCTGAAGTATGTCAAGGGTCGGTGTAAAAGAGTGCAAAGGGTGTGAGAACAGTGGCCCTGTGTTACTTGAATTCTCTTCAAGGTTGGGTGACTCAACTAGCATTCCACATCACTGCAGTGACATGTTCCTTTGTCATTGACCCAGTTCCTACTGTATCTGGTAATTCAGGTATTGAAATATATTTTAGAGAAAGCCTAGTTGACAACTAACTGTCCCATTTGTCCAACTAGACACTGCTGAATGAACTGGACAGGAGTATGGGCCACTACAGAGACGAGGTCAACTTGAAGACAGCCATCATGTCCTTCATCAATGCTGTGCTCAACGCTGGAGCTGGCGAGGTTGGGATGAAGATCCGGAGAGGCCTTTTAGATGCACACTATTGATCAGCAGGCTGTTTAATTCAGTTTTTTTTGAAGGGAACATGTTTTCATTAATTTTATTCTGTCATGCAACCAGTCAAATATATCTACTTAAGATTAAGTAAGAAAGGCTTTCTACCAACCTGTTGTCAGCCACAGTTGGAAAAGCTCTATTACTTTATGAGGTATGTTATAGGTTAAAAGTTCAACATTTTGGAAAATATTGTTCATTATTTGCTGGTGAGTTTAATGAGAAAACTTGATACCACTCTCATGTTTGTACTGTAAATATAAAGCTACAGCCAGTAGCCAATTAGCTGGAAATGAGGAAACTGCTTCTCCGGCTCTAAAATCATTCTACCAGCCACTCGTAAACTCACACAGATTCTCTTACCCACTGTTTTCAGTCTATGTGCTAAGCTATGTACTTTCAGACTTCCTGTAGACACATGAAAATGATATTAATCTCTTCACCTAACTCGCCAGTACAGAGTAAATTAGCATATTTCACAAAATATTGAGCTTTTACTTAAAATATAAAACCCTCCCACCCCATTTAAGAATTTATTAAGCTAAGTACATTTTCAGTGCCATTGTTGATTCTCTTTTTAAGTTAATTTCTCTGAGGAGAAACTGCCCTACTGACATGGTCACATCATTTTTTGTGGAATATTTATATCTATTATAAACTTTCACCAATGATTTCGCAGCTGCTAGATGCCTGGTCACATGCTAAATATTTAATTCTCTGTCTCCTTGTTTGAGGTATCTCATGCCACATTATTACCACATGGCGATTCATAGTAATTTTATCATTCTGTCTTATTGTTATTTATTTATTTTGCTTCCAGGACAACCTGGAGTTCCGTCTCCACCTAAGGTACGAATTCTTGATGTTAGGCATCCAGCCAGTGATCGACAAGCTCCGACAGCATGAAAACGCCACTTTGGATAGGTGAGAGTGAGACCTAATGTGCAATCAGTCAGTCAGTTCTCATCCTCCTCAGTGGTTATTCTGCAGTCCAGACCAGGACATAAATACTCCATGCCTGTTTTGTTGAAGTAGGCTTTATGTCCTTCCTCATGCCACACTGCTTTATGTTTAAATATAATAATAATAAAAGCAAATCAACCGTTTCAACTCTCTTCTTTCTTTGTTTTTGAGCTTATTCAAACCCAATATGTAAACCATGTATATTGAAGTCATAACTCTTGCCTTTACACAAATTGGACTTACAGTTTGATGAAGGTGACAAAATAAAAAGTAAGACCAAAGCATTGTTACACACCAAATCAGAAAACAAGTCCTATGCATGCTATATGTGCTCACATATTTTTGTTTGCCAAGAAGTCATTCACAAGTAAAAAAAATGTTCAGTATCCTTAGTAGTGATGCCACTTTGACTTGAGAGGTTGAGCTTATAGGTGGGTCTCCTGTGAAGCCGTTGTAAAATGTCAGTGACAGACATCAAATTGGGATTTTGGAGGGTTAGTGCTGCCTACACCGATCACAGATATGGATGGCAATGAAAGCCTGTTGTATTTATCCCTGTTTTACATCTGGAGTCTCTGTGGCCACAAACATAAGTAGTGCATCTTCAATTTGTCCTTCATTCAGAATGTTAACCAGAAATTATCATAAACCTTGGAAGAATCCTGAAGTACTAAGATGGCAAAGCAGGGTTACCTCATGTATGCCGGGGGTCTCGAGGACTGAACACAGCATTTGGGTTAAGAGAAGGTGTAATGCTTGAACCTCGACTGATTTGTCTCTCTACAGGCATTTGGACTTCTTTGAGATGGTGCGGAATGAGGATGATTCAGAGCTAGCCAAAAGATTCGATATGGTGAGGAATCTGTTACCCTTAGACATCAGTCTAGTTTGTTGTCAAGTTATCAGAGACTGTGCTACTTTGTGTGTGTGGCTCAATTTCTCTAAAGTCAAGCAGAGCAACTGTCAGACTTGAAACCCATTTAATGGAGTTTTCTTTTTCTTCATAGACCCATATAGATACTAAGAGTGCCGGTACCATGTTTGAGCTGCTCAAGAAGAAGCTGAGCCACACGGACGCATACCCCCACCTCCTTTCCATCCTCCAACACTGTCTGCAGCTGCCCTGTGAGTAGCTGACTGCCGGTATTCTGTTTTCATGCATCTGCAGTGTGCTCTTACATCATAAAATAACTTCAGATTTTGAACTCATGGCAGTTTATTGGGTTTACCTTACAATATCTGCCTTTGACCCCACATCTAGATAAACGTGGTAGTGGCAGCAGCATGCATCATTGGCAGCTTTTAGACCGGGTCCTTCAGCAGATAGTCCTACAGGACGACAAGGGAGAGGACCCTGACATCTCCCCTCTGGACAGCTTCAGTGTTAAGAACATCATTCGCTTGTAAGTAGAATGTCATTATGCTCAGTCAAAGCAGATACACTACACAAAAGCAGACATCATACAATATACTGCAGTGGACACATGGCCACCTTGTTCTGTGAGTTTTCTCTTCTGATGCATTTACATGAATGATAATAATTGTCAGCAATCATGCTTTATCTGAGCCAGTGTCTTATATTTATTCATCATCTTCAGACATGACTGTACTGTCAGTGCTGATCCAGACAAACATTATACCATTATATGAAAGTTACTGTAAGTGCACTGTACTTCAGCAATTCCTTCATGCCAGGCTTTTCCTGAAGCTGTGGACATGTTATCTTTCTTAAAAATAATCCAGTCAGCATCACTTGTAACTAGGATCACAGGCCATTCTTATAATAGCATTATGCTCTTTTATGTGATGATGATTGAGGTATGGCTAGAAGGCAAAGAAGCAGTGGAAAAATGTGTTGTGCATGAGTTTTAGACTACGGATACAGTTACAGTAACTCTGTGCATCACATATGTAATAACGCTCTGGCTGGTTTTTCATTTTGAGCTATTGTGCCAGTGATGGGATTGCAGAATGTGATTGCACAGGAAGGTGAGGGGAAGTGCAGGTAACAGCAGGGGTTTGTGGGTAGAATTAATCCAAGCATGAATTGGCATACAAGCAGAAGCCGGAGATCAAAAGGAAATTGCTCTAATCGCATTAAACTGGCACATCGGACAAACCAAGCATGTTGAGGTGTGATGAAGCAGTCACTTGGCTTCATAACGGAGACAATAGGGAAAACAAAGAAGAAGTATTGTGACTTGAAAGTAAATGTTTTGCATATGTCATCATGGGAAAAGTTTACATTGCCGCTCAGGTTCTTTTCCAAATCATAAGTGTGTGCTGAGTGTCAGTAGTGTTAAAAGATGGCATTCAAGGGGTTTGTCCATGTGTTCCACCACCAGCTGACCTCAGTTTCTCTTTCTGACATGCTGCTATTTTTCTCTTTCACCCTCTTCCTTCTGGTTATTTCCAAATGAAGCTGCAATAGCAGCATGTTGAGCAAAGTAGTGCGGGCATCCCTCTCCCCAGCAGTATTTTCCATTTCCTCCTGGGGGATCCCAGTGCATGTTTCTTGTCTACCCTGGAGCCTCCTTACAGTTGGACGTGTGTGAAACCCCTCAACATGTTTCTTTCATTGCAAAGGAACAGTGGCTCAAATAAATCAGATCTCCCTTGAGATGTCTGAACTTGTTACCTGAGTCTAAATGTGCATCCACTGGTAGCGCCTCCATTGGTAGAGTGGCTGAGCAGTGTCAGAACCCTGATAAACGGAGCATACCCTCTGGTCCCCTTTTTAAAAAAAAAAAAAAACCCACCACAAGTCTTTAAACTCTGTGTCCCTCACAGAGTACGTACATATCAGGTTCAGGAGTTCCTCAGTATTCTTTCAACCGCCCAGTGATATCCCCAGCAGGTCTGCTCCCCCACTGAACACAGACTGAGCCCTGACTTCCCTTCTTGAATCATCTTGTGGTTTAATGGAGATGATGGGACAGGGGGATTGTTTTAACAATTGTTCAATTAAAACTGTGAAACGAGGTCAATCAGCATCTGTGGTCACCATGACAACTCTCACGTGTGTACCAGACCCAAAATTACCACTCTAGTACAAATCACATTTTTCCACAGCTATATAAAGGAATTTATTTGACAAATCAAAAATAGTGATTGTGTCATTTAGTTTTAATGAGCTGGATCCATGAAGTGTTGCCTGAGCTGTAATTAAAACCGCTGTGACTTTGTAGTCAAGTTCAAACAGCCGTTTCACTAACACAAACACTTGGAAGACAAACCTGATTAATTTGGCTTTTAAATTGCCCTATGGATTTCCTTGTAAGCACTGATTACAAGTACAAGTGTGAGTCATTGTTATATTGAATTTACTTTATCCTCATTGCCGGTCATATGTCAGCACTATTTTATTGTTTGTTTATAGTCTATGCTTAGTGACAAATGTCTGTTCTCTCAACTCCAGCTATGGCCGCCACCAGGGCTCAAGGTTACACTTTACAGTCTTTATTAATCTGAATTAATTTCTCAAAACATTCAATTTAATGATTGATTCTCAAAAACTAATTTCTCACAATTAGATTTCAGTTTTATTTTGGGACATCAGCATAACCCTGTTTAACCTCAGGTCCCTGCTGA